TTTATTTTTTTTATTTTTTTTGTGGAAAAAAATTGAAGCAATTTGACTGCTCCTATGTAATTGTTCATGTGTGGGCATTTTCATAAACTAAAAAAAAAAGAAAAAAGGTTACAAAGCTTCACCGACTTTGGTTGCAAGCTTTATATAATAAATACCATAGATAATTATGAAACGTTTTGGAAGTATTGGTCATACATCCATGGCTTGATACTTTCCGTAAAAATCAACTGGACTGCTCTGTTTCCATGTGCTTACCTGCTTGCCCTTTTTAGCATGAGAGAACTTGCAAGATTATGGGCAAGGATGGCTATTTTTGGTTCATATCTAAATCTTTATAATTCTTTATTAGTCATCGCCTCTTTTTGGTAAATAAAATGTCCTTATCCTTGGCTCAAGGGAGGAATCAAGCCTATGCTTGAGTCTGCTAGGTTATCTATGCTTGTTTTCTTTGCTGTATGAGATTATTATCACAATAGTAAATTTTTTTCCCCTTTAAGCTTCCTTTTGCTACAGTCCATTTTAAGCATGCAGTTCTAACTTGTCTTTAGTTTCATTTCCATTCATTTTGGTTTTCACTGTTGGATTTGGTGTGAATAATCTTTTCTATTTGTAGGTTCAGGAAAGGAAGAAGCATTGAGAGAGAAATTCTATTGGCATATTTTTTTGGCAAATCTTGTTTAGGAACTACGGATATGATTATATAGTATTATGATATTCCTGACCAGATTGTTACAAATTTATAATGTTGATGCCATTGGATGTTCGTTGCTGAGCTTGTTCTAAGTTTTGCAATTATGAACCTCCTAGTCAACCAAAAAGGAAAAAAAAAATTATAATGTTTGTATTGATACATTGATTAGGCACTAATGCCTCTAGTTTAAAAAGTCTAGTAAGATGCCTTTCTTTTTTTTTTCTTTTTTTTTTATCTAATTTAAATCTAAAAACCCTCAGATTTATTTTGAAGACTGGAAGATTAGTGAAGCTTTCATTATGAAAGAATTCAAGACAATCACCAATTTAGATGGTGGGCTTGAAGCTTTCGGAATCCTTTTATGATTGTCTATAAATGCAGATATAGATTAGGGATATAGTTTCTACTCAAGGATTGGTGCATGGGAGGGACAAACTCCTGCCATATATATTTGAGTCAAAATTGTCCAGGTGCAGGTCTGGCCCTAAGGGCAGGCAAGAGAGGTGCCTTAGGTCCTCAAATTTGGGCTAAAAACAGGGGCCCCAAATATAATTTTGTGTTTTAGATATAACCCAAACCGAACCAAACCAAGCCAAGCCTTAAGTCACATCAAATGGGAAATTTTGTGTTATATATATATATATATATAAAGTCCACAAATTGAATGGGTTAGCTTTGTTATCCATGAAAAAATATATGGTGGATAAATTCAATTATGCAAGTTTCATTAGTGATTTTGCAGCTAAAAATGTGAGAAGAGTAATGTTTATGTAATAGTTGGTTCAATTATAAACTGGATATTGCTAAATTATAAAGCAACAAGAGCAAATTTTTATTTTTATTTTGAGTATTTGTAATGATTGCTTCCTATCTTAATATATGAAAGTAAATTTTTATTTATAATTTTAATGATTATACGTGCAAGTAATTTTTTTGTGGCTACAAACAAATAAAAAGTTGTAACTTGTCGTTTTATCCATGAATTTTTATTTTTATTTTTATTTTTTCAATGTAAGAGGGACTTCATTTCCGAAGTTTGCCTTGGGCCCCGTAAATCTCAAGACCGGTCATGTCCTGGTGCATGGTAAATGCAAATAAAACATAGTTCAAAAGATTACTGACTTGACCTTGAGGTTGTCATACAAAGAATAGCCAACGTTGAATGACAAAAACAAAAAATAAATTAGACAAACCTTCAATGAATTTTGACCACTTGGTGCAATGCAGGTTATCTTTCTCATAGAATCAGGAGGAAGTGCAACATGGTGCTGCATTAAACTGTTCTCAAAGACAGTTTGCATAATGATTTAACCATGGCAACCTTAGATGAAGAATAACAAAACAAAAATGCCAGACACATATGGCAACATAATTTTATAGAAAGGACTTTTAAACTTTTGTAAACTAAGTTAAGCATTGTTAAACTTATAGCATATAAATCTCCCCTGTTACAAGATCTCCCACACCTGCCACCGACAGATGACGTTAAACTATAAAGCATCAAGTCTTTCTAGCTCTCTAATGTAAACAAAAGCCATAATAATTGTTTCTAAACAACTAAAGTAAAATGCTCTTTGATTACCTATTTTTTTAGGCTGGAATTCCCAAAGGGTGTCCTTGTCAAGGGTCGGGACAGAGACACCACGAGGGATATACACATCACCAGATCGCTTTGCGATGGTCTTTATCCAAACAGTCCCAAAATACGGACAGGAGGGAATCCTCCTCCTAACAAAAAGTCAAATTATCTCAGAAAACGTGTTTGATTTTCCTTTATTATCTTAGATTGCTAGAAAAGTATCAAATCTTTTTTTTTTTTTTTCTCAAAATAAGTTTTTGTTTCTAATAAAGTGTCCAAGGTCAGAATAGTTTACTTGTTCGAAAAATTGACCAATTTCATTATTTCTATAAGCGGAGATGAAACTAGGAGAAGATCCTGAAGGGTCATAATTTTTTTTGTTTTTGTGAACATCATTGTTTGTCATAAAACTTTATATATATATACCATTTTATATATAAAATGATCCCAGTATAAAAAACATATATGTCATTCTTTTTCCATCTTGAATTCCCTTTCTATTTTATATCAAAAAAACTTATTCATCCCATTAAAAATTGCTTCTATGGTATTTACATTTTTTTTATGTGTAAATAATTTATATATCATATACATACATTTGTGTTTTAGCATCAAATCTTTTTTTTTAGAAAAGTATCAAATCTTTTTTTTTTTTTTTCTCAAAATAAGTTTTTGTTTCTAATAAAGTGTCCAAGGTCAGAATAGTTTACTTGTTGGAAAAATTGACCAATTTCATTATTTCTATAAGCGGAGATGAAACTAGGAGAAGATCCTGAAGGGTCATAATTTTTTTTGTTTTTGTGAACATCATTGTTTGTCATAAAACTTTATATATATATACCATTTTATATATAAAATGATCCCAGTATAAAAAACATATATGTCATTCTTTTTCCATCTTGAATTCCCTTTCTATTTTATATCAAAAAAACTTATTCATCCCATTAAAAATTGCTTCTATGGTATTTACATTTTTTTTATGTGTAAATAATTTATATATCATATACATACATTTGTGTTTTGTGTATATTGTGAAAAAAAATTATTTTCCTTTTGACTCATTCGGTAATAAAATTCTGGTTCCGTCCCTGCTTATAAAGGTATTTTTTCCCATAAATATAAACTTTTTTTAATTTGTATTTTCATTTTTAAATCTCTACTCAAATTTATAATTTAAACATAATTAGAAAAATCTATTAATTAAGCAATTAAACATGATGTAAACTGAAACCCTTGTGTAGTGGATAAATTATTTTTTGCTCAATATCATGTGATATTCCAATTTAATATTTATTGATTAAAACAGACCCACACTTTTTATTGCGTTTTTAAATAATGACTCTGAATTTTTCCTACTCTGTTTTTTGTTGTTTTATTTTGTTTATTTATTTGTTAAAGTGGCAATTGTAAATGCAAGAAAAAAACGCAAATAATCAAACAAAGTCTAATGTAACAATACTATACAGGGAAATTTTAATATATAAATCAACGCGAAGTCCAGGAACAAAGTATATACTGATATCACTCTTATTTGTCTCTGTAAACATATATAATGACAAATAAATAAAGAATCCCTCACACTCGGTTCATAACAAATACTCGCATATACTATGTCCATGTAAATATATAAATATATAAGTATGTATAATGTATGTATTTGTGTGTATCCATGAATAAAATCAAAGAATCGGGAAATTTAATGCTTGTTGAGCGCGACCAAAGACAAAGCCAGAGACGAGCACACGACGGCTGCAGAGATGGGCAACGAGAATGCAGATCCAGCGTCCATGCTAGGGGATGATGCTGGAGCCATCCCGGAGTCTTGTGCCGAAGCAGTAGCAGAGAAGAGAGCGACGACGAAGAAGACTGCCAAAGCCTTGAATGAGCTCATGTTCGCCATTGCAAATTGTATATATAGAGAGAGAGAGAGAGAGAAAGCTGGTTTTTCTAGAGAGAGAAAAACTAGAGAGGAGAGGAGGGTTTGAGACAGCTGCAAGAGTGAAGGATTATTGAGTTTGGAGGAATGGGATGGTGTGGAGGCAGGTATATACAGGGGGGCATACGTGTGGACTGGACCCCAATGAAACCGTGTGGCAGCTAAGTAGGGCCGGCGCGTTCAAACTTGATAGAGAGGGGGCCGAGTCGTAATCGTCGAAGAAAACAGGGGTCATTCGCAGCAGGAGGGTTGAAATCGTAGAAGAAAACAGGGGTCTCTCCACGCCATGTGGCATAGGTTGGTTAACCAACTCTAGTATCTTACCAGGAAAAAAATGTTTGAAATTTTCAAAAATCATCCTAGTTTGAGTCATAATTGTTAGAATATAATATGTAAAGTGTATGCTTTCCCCTTTCGGTGGCCCTTTCCCCTTTCGGCGACCACTTTCCCTTTAGGCCATGATGTTGTTTTGTATAGTGTGTATACCACTTAGGCCATTTTCTCCTATATAAAGGAGACCGTGTATAACATTCAATATATCAATAACATCAATCATAATACATACAATTTCTCTCTCTATCAATTTATCTTACATGGTATCAGAGCTAGGTTAAGAACCTAGTAATTTCGTTCCACCGGCGGGCGGCAATCTCGCCTTGGCCGCCCGCCGGACAAACCCAAATTTCCTTAATTTCTTCTTTCATGGCAACAACACTTCATAGCTCGCATACTGCTTCAACAAAGATAGTCTTCTCAATACAACAGACAGACCCACTCACCAATTGCCTCACTCTTCACCTCCGCTCTTTCACCCATTGGTAACCTTGTGCAAGTCTCCATCCTTTGCTCTTCATCAAGTAAGCTATCACAATTGCTGGTGACCTGCTTTTTCCAGACATGCAGTGGACAAGAACAAGTGCCCTGTCCTTTTCACATTGCTTTGACTCCCCCAACCCTTTTCTCTCCTTCTTTGAGTACCCAAAACTCCAACCAGAAAGTTGTTCACCCACAGAAGACGGCATTACCCAATCCACGTCGCAAATTATACCCACTGCTGCAACTCCACAATCGGCAGACACCACAGCTGCAACTCCACAACCGGCAGGCACCGCTGCTGCAACTCCACGACTGAGCTACCATACAGCTTCCAGCCGTGACTAAGCATTGCCGAGCCACCACCAGCAGCACCACCAACTACTCCACTGCCGAGCCACCACCGCTGCAACTCCACAACCGAGCCATTCATGTTCTTCTCAGGCTGAACCTTCGACTAATCCAACACTCCAAACCGATATCATCTCTCTCTCTCTCGGGGTTGGTTGAATGTAAAGTTGTAAACTGATGATAAAAAAAAACGACACACACAGAAGACCAAACCCAGCTCTCTCTCTCTAACAGAGCTCTCTCACTCTCTCGGCACCTCTCTCTCTCTCGGACTTCCTCCTTTCTTTTATTTTTTATTCATCCCCATATCCTCCACCACGTCCCTTTCTTTTTTTTTTAAACAATATTTTTGACCAAACACAGTATGTATAATGTATGTATTTATGTGTATCCATGAATAAAATCAAAGAATCGGGAAATTTAATGCTTGATGAGCGCGACCAAAGACAAAGCCAGAGACGAGCACACGACGGCTGCAGAGATGGGCAACGAGAATGCAGATCCAGCGTCCATGCCAGGGGATGATGCTGGAGCCATCCCAGAGTCTTGTGCCGAAGCAGTAGCAGAGAAGAGAGCAACGACGAAGAAGACTGCCAAAGCCTTGAATGAGCTCATGTTCGCCATTGCAAATTGTATATATATAGAGAGAGAGAAAGCTGGTTTTTCTAGAGAGAGAAAAACTAGAGAGGAGAGGAGGGTTTGAGACAGCTGCAAGAGTGAAGGATTATTGAGTTTGGAGGAATGGGATGGTGTGGAGGCAAGTATATATAGGGGGGCATACGTGTGGACTGGACCCCAATGAAAGCGTGTGGCAGCTAAGTAGGGCTGGCGCGTTCAAACTTGATAGAGCGGGGGCCGAGTCGTAATCGTAGAAGAAAACAGGGGTCATTCGCAGCAGGCGGGTTGAAATCGTAGAAGAAAACAGGGGTCTCTCCAAGCCACGTGGCATAGGTTGGTTAACCAACTTTAGTATCTTACCAGGAAAAAAATGTTTGAAATTTTCAAAAATCATCCTAATTTGACTCATAATAATATTTGTGGGAGCCGAATTTCATTGATCAATAGGGACGAATGGACGAATCCAGTCCGGGACATAATATTTATTCGGCATTGATCCAAGTCAATTGAAGAGCCGAATAAAATAATCGGCATTCCAATCAGTAGACTAGTGAAACAAAGGCCGAGTAGAAGTATATGTAAAGGATCAAGGATGGGCCTTACCCCGAGGCCCAAAGAGAATAATATAAATACCGGATCACTAGCTAGAGAAAGGTAGGTGAGAATTAGTATGCTTACTTAAGATACAAGTAATCAAGAGAGTATATATTGACTTATCTGTCGGAGTGCTAATTCTGGCACCCCCGACCGGAGTGTTCATTCATTTTCAGGTGACTAGCTGAGGATCACGAGCGTCCCTCAAGATCTGAAGAGTATTTCCAAACCACTTCCCCATAATTGGCGCCGTTTGTGGAAATACTCAAGAACATCTATGGCGGGCGTAACGGAAGACCCTCTGATAGTCACTGACGAAACTACACAGAGAGACGACCTCACTCTAACAAACATGCTTGGACCGGAGATTATCGCCGCAAGACGCGCTTTGAACTTCGCCTCACCCTCGACTTCAGAGCATGAGACAATGCAAGCGATCATGGAACAAGCAAAGCAAAACGAATAGAGATTGGAGAACATGGTCGCTGAGAACGAACGTCTCCGTCAGGATTTGGCCTTGGAGATAATGAAGTCCAAACAAGCTGTACGCAAAGATCCGGAACGATCTCTGAGGGCAGGTGGTCAACGACCTCAAGCTCGACAACAAGACACTGATAGCAACTTTGGCTCATTATCGCTGGAGCCCAAGAAGAAGGGACGACCAGAAACTTCCACTTCCTCTAAAGAGAGTCCACGTATAAGGCATAAGTGAAGAATAAACAGTTCAGATGAAGAAGACCAGCATGATCCCTTCGTGCGACGGATCGCAAGGGCAGTTCTGCCTAAAAAGTTCAAAGCTCTATCGTTCGCTCTCTATGATGGAAAATCAGACCCCACCGATCACATTCGTCACTACAAGTAAGCCATGACATTGCATGCAGACGACGAGGCCTTCATGTGCCGAATATTCCCTAGCAGTTTGGGCCCATTGGCTGTCAGGTGGTATTATAAATTGGAGCCGGCTTCGATCAAAAGCTTCCATCAATTACAAAAATCCTTCAGGGCCAGATTCATCAGCAACGAGGTCTAGCCGAAACAAGCTGACTCTCTCTGGGCAATGTAGATCCAGCCAGGAGAAACACTAAGAGCATACTCGGCGCTATTGGGAGTGCTTTAATCTTGTTGATGACGCTTGCAACGACTCCATGGCCATCACCGCCTTCAAAATGGATTTGTATCCTAACAGTGCTCTCCATAGCTCCCTGACTAGACGAACCCCCAAAACAGTCTGGTCGCTGATGAAGAAAGTTGAAGAATACTGCAAAGTAGAGGATGACGCTTTGCGGGTTAAAGCCGGAAACGTGGCCAACAAAACAGTCCCTTCTGAAATTGCTCAGCCATTAAATTTTGTACCACCTCAGAGCCCTGAACCACGGCATCGAGCTAAACAAGACAAGAGACGGGATTTCTCACCGACCAAGTGACCAATGCTCCCACCGAGCAAATGAACAATTGCAAGTTGATAGCAGGCGCTCAAGGCGCGCTGACAAGAAATATACGGAGTTGATAGGGTCGATCAGTGCGGTTATGTCCAAAGTCCAACACCTTCCGTTCTTCAAATAGCCGTCCAAAATGGTGGGACCTCCCGACACGAAAAGACAGGATAGACGGTGTGAGTATCACAAGGACCATGGCCACGATATTGAGAGTTATTATGCATTGAAGGATCACCTGGAGGAATTAGTACAAGATGGTAGGCTACAACAGTACGCCCGAAAAGGCAACTCAACCAAAGCAATAGCCATAAGACAGGTTTCCCCTCCACTCGGCGTGATCCACATGATATATAGCCTGCCAATGTTGTCCACCGTGCATACGATTCAGTTGAATCCCGACCCTCAAAATCAACTCATTCCGGCAAAATGGCCATATGAAGCTGCGAGCATTGCTTTTGATGATTCAGATTTGGCCTGAGTGACACTTCCCCACATCGATCCCTTGGTAATTGAGTTACACGTAAACCGATTCACCGTTGAGCACGTACTCATTGATCCGGGGAGCACATCAGAGATTATGTATTACAAGACATTCACCAAGCTCGGCTTCTCTGAATCGGATCTTCCTCCGGCCCCTTATCCACTATTCGGCTTCAATGCCAATCCAGATTACCCATTGGGGAAAATCACATTACCCGTTCGAGCAGGCTCCCGAACAGTGGATGTTAAATTCTTGGTCGTCAAGCTTCCATCGCCGTATAATCTCATCATGAGGCGAACTTGGTTGCATTCTATGCAGGCTGTGCCAAGCACCTATCATCAGTTGCTACGCTTCCCGACAGAGCACGGCATTGAGCAAATCCATGGCTCACAGAAGTCGGCACAAGCATGCTATCTCCTTGTTGGAAAAACGCCAAAGGAGTTGCATGTGAATTCTATTGAGGTGCCGGATCGGGAGAGCCTCGACGATGTTGGATGGCCCCCAAGTGAAAAGGCCACGGAAGCCCTAGATCGAGTTGAAATCGACGGAAACCCAGACAGGTTCTTCATGGTCGGCGCATTCCTGAATCAAGTCGACAGACAACAGCTGATTTCCTTCCTGCTCAGCAACCTTAATGTCTTTGCATGGACTCCATATGAGATGCCGGGTATAGATCCATCTGTTTCGCAGCACCGGTTTGAATGTTGACCCTAAATGCAAGCCGATCATTCAGAAAAGCCGGCGGTCAGCCGCAAAGCACACTGCCGCCGTTGTTGAAGAGGTTGATAGGTTGCTTGACGCCGGGGCAATCAGGGAAGTGACCTACCCTACGCGGCTCTCTAATACTGTCGTTGTGAAGGAAAAAAATTGGACTTGGCGAGTGTGCGTTGATTTTACGGACCTAAACAAAGCCTGCCCCATGGATTGTTTTCCCTTACCCAGAATTGGCCAACTTGTAGATGTGTCATGACCTAATGCAGTCTGTAAGCTTTGCCAAAATCTTGATGTAAACTTCAAATCCCTATCAGAAACAATGGACACAGGCATTCCATGCAGTCTAACAATTTCATCAATATAGAGTATAGCCAATTTGTCCGCATTATAAATTGTCTTAACAGGTAAGAAGTGAGCAAATTTAGTCAGTCTATCAACGATAACCCAAATTGAGTCCATACTTTTACTAGAGCGAGGCAATCCCACAATAAAATCCATGGTGATATGTTCCCATTTCCACTCCGGTATGGGTAAGGACTGCAATAAGCCTACGGGTCATTGATGTTCGGCTTTAACTTGTTGGCAATGAAGACATTTTGATACAAAATCAGCAATTTCTTTCTTCATTCCTGGCCACCAGAAATTCAATTTCAGATCTTGGTACATTTTCGTGTTCCCTGGATGGATAGACAGTTTTGAATTGTGGCCTTCTTGCAGAACTCTTCTTTTCAGTTCAGTGTCATTCGGTACACACAGTCTTTCTTGAAATTTCAGTACATTATTTTCAAATTTGAAACCCGGTCTTGGTTTAGTTTCCTTTTCTTCGATGATCTTCTTCAAGAAGTCATCCGATTGTTGTTTCTCTTTAATTTCTTCAATCAGTGCCGGTTGAGCAGAAATAGCAGCTATTGTTCCACCTTGTTCTCGCAAAACAATTTCAATTTCGGATTTTTCAAGGTCACAAAGCAATTCTTTCTACCCGGTGAGCAAACAGGCTAAATTTCCAATCGATTTCCAGCTCAGTGCATCGGCAACGGTGTTGGCTTTTCCCGGATGGTACAAAATCCGTAGGTCATTGTCTTTAATCAGTTCTAGCCATCTCCACTGTCTCATGTTCAGTTCTTTCTGTGTGAAGAAGTATTTCAGACTCTTGTGATCTGTATACACCTCACATGTCGCCCCATATAGATAGTGACGCCAGATTTTCAATGCAAATACCACTGCGGCAAGTTTCAAGTCATGGGTTGGTAATTCTTTTCATGCGGTCTCAGTTGTCGGGAAGCATAAGCAATAACTCTCCCTTTCTGCATTAAAACACATCCTAAACCCTTATGAGAAGCATCACTAAATACAGTAAAACCATCCGTACCTGAAGGTAAGGTAAGAATCGGTGCAGTTACAAGTCGAGTTTTCAACTCTTGAAATGCTGATTCCCTTTGGTCAGTCCAGTCAAATGATATCCCCTTCTGAGTAAACTGAGTCAACGGTAAGGCAATTTTGGAGAAGTCTTTGACAAATCTTCTGTAATATCCAGCCAAACCCAAAAAGCTTCGGACTTCAGTCACATTTGTTGGTCTAGGCCAGTTTACTACAGTTTCAATTTTTTATGGATCAACGGAAATTCCATCTTTGCTAACAACATGCCCCCACAACATAACATGATCAAGCCAAAATTCACATTTAGACAGTTTAGTATAAAGTTTCTATTCTCTTAGGGTCTGTAGGGTAAGTCTCAGATGATGTTCATGTTCTTCTACACTCTTGGAGTATATCAATATGTC